TGAGTCGTCATCACATCTTTGGTCTTTGAGATACACGAAGTCGACTTCGAGAGCTAGGAGGTCGACTTATGATTATATGAGGTTTCGGAGACTACACTTGGTTAATTCTCTCGAGTGGCAGTCGTCGTTGGAGAATCGTTTTGGTGAAGTCGACTATTAGGAGTCGACTTAGAATATCCAGATGCTCGAAAGCTACTCTCTTGTTGCTCTTCATATGTAAAGGTCGACTAATGGAAGTCGACATACTGAAGTCGACTGAGCAGATTCCTGCGCCTTCCTGATTGTTCTTTGTAGAGTCGACTTGAGCATGTCGACGGGGTCATGTCGACATGCAAGTAGTTCGAGGGGTTCGCCGGTCGAGTAAGGAGCCTCTGGACCGGGTTATCCTTATATGGCTATATCAATAACCAAAATGTGATTTAACCTGAGAGTCCAATTTATCTTTCAAGATTACAAATACCCCTGCAAGTAGTTATTACTATTCAACAAAATATGCCCCAATGCAAACTAGAAGCAGTGCGAAGGTTTATTTTAATTAACGAAGATGGATTTTTATTTCTCAAAACATGAGAATGTATATGTAAATAACCATTTATTTTCGGTTTAGCATGAAATTCATTTACGTTGTTGTATTGAATGAACAGGGATCACATCAAGCTATGCTGCAACAGTAGGAGTTGGCACCATTCAGGTTAAGACCAGTAAAAAGAAATGCTAGTTTGTGGCTTTTTGAACTTATTCAACTAACAAGTATTCTTCGCAAGTCTTATTTGTACTAAATTGTCAACGTGTTAACATGGTAGACAAAACGGGGCGTAGGATTCTATTGATCGTGAGTTGAAGGAAAAATATATGTGTAGAAGTTTTATCAATTGACTTACAAATTGGAGATATTATTTTCAGGTTTCTTCTTCGGGAATGGCTGTTAGTCTCTTACTAGTTGCAGTGTCATTCTTTGCAAAAGTATTATTACTCTTATGATAAAAATTATTGTCAGACGAGACAAAAATTAGAGATGTAGCAGTTGAACTTATTGGATTACTACAAAAACTACCCAGAGTATTAACATAAATATTCTTACAAAGTGACAAATGATTCATCTACAGGGCTAATTTTGTAAAGAAATACTTTTGGACATTTAAAAATGTGAAAAAATAACTGAATTTTGTTTTTGCAAGTAATTTAGGCATCAAAGGTAGTTTTTCGTAATTATTTTGAAGTCTAATACACATCCATTGCAGTTTATAGTTACATTTGCAATAACTTTCTTATTGTAGTTCAACTGACTTTTTTTTTTTTTCTTTTTTGTAGTTCATGATCGTCTTTTTTTTCACTTGGAATGGGGCCCATCCCATGGCTCATAATGTCTTGAGGTTTGTTTTCTACCCCACCATGTAGTTAGTATGAAATAGTCGTTATCTTTCAAAATTGCATATCACCCCCTTTAATCTGAACGAGGAAAGGACAATTATTCAGACACTGGAGCTTTTTTTGTCATTAGATCAATTTACAGACACTCAAATATTTCCAGATTAGCGTGTGTGTTTTACTTTTTAGATTGCATCAACTAAATTCTGCATACTTGGTATCTCTTGTATACTTACAGATACTGCCGATTAAGATAAAAGGGCTAGCTGGAAGTGTTGCAACTTTATTCAACTGGTCCTGCTCGTGGGTTATTACTATGACTGCACCATTGCTACTCACTTGGAGAATTGGAAGTTTGTTAAAAAAATCCTTGTTCATTGCATTTTGCTACGGTTTACGGATATGTTAAAAAAACCAGTCGCTCTAATAATATTAGTCGAATAATAATAATAATAATAATAATAATAATAATAATACATCTTATTTCCAAGTGAATTAAAACGGTCCCTTGGATTTGTTGGAAATGGTATGTACTTCATGCAATTCTGGATAAAAACGAGTCGCTCTTCTAATATCCAACAAACCATGAATAGAGAGAAAAAAACATAGTAAATTTACTCTTGGATCAAGTCAATAACTCAATGTCACTCGTGTTATAGGGATGATGAAGGAACATCTTCAGAAATTTAGTCGAAAAAAAATAATAATAATCATAGTAATAATAAGAATAATACATCTTCTTTCGGAGTGAATTAAAACAGCCCCTTGGACTTGAAATCTGTTTTACAAATGTGGCAGCTGTTGATAGAGTATATAGTAAATGGGACTTTTTGTTCTCCTATGGGAAGTTTCGGATTCTGGTAGGCTGTCTGGGTTACCGTATAAAGTTGACATGATAACGTGAAACCTTACAATAACTATTTATTTGCGCGTGATCTCGAACAGGAATTTTCGCACTTTACTCTGTTATGTGCATATTGATTGCGGCATTGGTGACGGTATGGCTTCCAGAGACGAAAGGAAAAACATTAGAGGATCTCCAATCCTCCTTCAGATGAGAGTAGTTTTAAATTGTTTTATTTGTTACTTCTTTTTTGTAAAACTTCCTGGGGAATTTAGTGCATTTATTCATTTATTTATTTTTGTTGGCATTTTTTACCTTGGGCAGGCAGCATAATTAACTTGTTACTGACATTTTGGGGGAGAGATAATAAATAGGGATTGTGTCGGGTTGACCGGACAATGTACCAAATGAAAGTGCATATGACGATAAGCATTAGTTTAAATTCTTTATCTTTATTTATTGTTTTTTGTTCAATTTTGAAAATAATGTATTAGCTGAAATTTTCTTTTCTTTGGGTCACATAACAACGGAAGTTTTTTTGCCAAGTCAAATTCACTTCAAATTTAGGTCTACAATGAATAATATCTCAGAAATTTTCAATTCTCGACCAAACATTGTTGGGCGCTTAAATTCATACACTCAGATGTTTAACACTTCTTGTGAATCAAAAATTATTTTCTTAATCCCTCACATACTATTTTCAGTTCTTTTCATTAAATACTCCACCAAGGTAACCTCCTCAATTTCAAATTTCTTGTAACTGCTCTAAGTAACTCCTGCAAGACAAAGACAACGACGAGAAAAGAAACTAACACAATTGTAAAAAGTGTTTATTAAAAATTGGTTTAGCCAGAAATGCAAAACTGAAAATGTGATAATTAAAACTGAATTTTTATTCTTTTTTTAAAATAAACACTAACAACTTCTATTTTGATTTTATTTTTTTTCCTTTGCCGTCTCATTAGCTCAAATATATTTTTCCAACACTCTTTACACTTTCAAATAAAGAATTACGAGATTATAAAATTCGCTATTTCTAATAAATAAAAAGCTACATAATGAGATAATCCATTTTTATTTTTTCAGGTTTATCGAAGGTTACTGCCGGAATAGGTCGTATATTACGAAAATAAACGATGTCAAAGCTGATGGACATTGCGGCTATCGCATCATTGCTGATTACGTTTATGGTTCTCAAGATGATTGGTCGCGGATGAGACGTGAGTTACTAGATAATCCACACCTGATCTACAGGAATGGGGGGAAGCATATTATTTGAAAGTTATCGACCGTATTAATTGCTTCGAAACGTCTGCAATAGAGCACCATTTGGTTCGATGTCTTAGATGCCGCCATACTCATCGCTACGAGGTACAATGTAGCCCTTGCGACGTTGAGCTATTTCCCCAATGGTTCCTTCGAAACGTCACAGACTATGTTGCCACTTGGGAGATACCCAGATCGTATCATTTGCATGGATCCTATCCGCTCCAATCATTTTGTACAGGTATGTATAATTAGATTTTGAATTAAACTTTTTTTATTTTTACAACTTTTCCTAATCGAAATAATATTGGTTTTAACAGTGGTTTTATTTTTCTTTTGAAAACTTTTAGAGCTAGAAAATACGACTTTTTCATTTTTATTTTTTTTCAATTTTACTTCTAATCTGCGAAAATAGGTTGAAAAAAGGAATAGTTTGTTCGGGGCCAACCAAAAGGAAAGTCGGTTTCCTTTCCCAAAACTATTAAATAACAAATATTTTTTTCGTCCTGCCATTGTAATCCTGTGTTCCAAGGTCGCAAACGGAAAGGCATAATTATTTGTATCTGGCAAAGGAGAATTTATATTCTGCGAATCAATAAAGATTGTTGATTGATAGGTACTTATGCCAGATGAACACCCACGGCCCCCTCTTTATCCCACTAGGAGACTCGATCCTACATGGCTCCAGTTTCGCGAGAACCACTTTCATCGATTGACCCATTCAAATGTATTTATACAAGAGTCTTTTTTCTAACTTGGTAATATTAGTATTATGTGGAAGAAAGCAAAGTCGTGAGGAATAATAGTGCGAGATTATTGTGGTTGGTATTTACGATATAAAAATGTTGTTCGTTTATTTGTATTTATTTAATTAAATATTAGTTGTTAATTAAAAATATAAGATATGATGGGTATTAGTGTATTACTAATTTGCCATTTTTAAACAACTAATATTAGTAATACACTAATACCCATCATATCTTATATTTTTAATTAACAACTAATATTTAATTAATTAAATACAAATAAACGAACAATATTTTTATGTCGTAAATACCAACCACAATAATCTCGCACCATTATTCCTCACGACTTTGCTTTCTTCCACATAATACTAATATTACCAAGTTGGAAAAAAGACTCTTGTATAAATACATCTGAATGGGTCAATCGATGGAAGTGGTTCTCGCGAAACTGGAGCCACGTAGGATCGAGTCTCCCAGTGGGATAAAGAGAGGGTCGTGGGTGTTCATCTCGCATAAGTACGTACCAATCAACAATCTTTATTGGTTCGTAGAATATAAATTCTCCTTTGCCAGATACAAATAATTATGCCTTTCCGTTTGCGACCTTGGAACACAGGATTACAATGTCAGGACGAAAAAAATATTTGTTATTTAATAGTTTTGGGAAAAGAAACCGACTTTCCTTTTGGTTGGCCCCGAACAAACTATTCCTTTTTTCGACCCATTTTCGCAGATTAGAAGTAAAATTGAAAAAAAAAATGAAAAAGTCGTATTTTCTAGCTCTAAAAGTTTTCAAAAGAAAAATAAAACCACTGTTAAAACCAATATTATTTCGATTAGGAAAAGTTGTAAAAATAAAAAAAAAGTTGAATTCAAAATCTAATTATACATACCTGTACAAAATGATTGGAGCGGATAAGACCCATGCAAATGATACGATCTGGGTATCTCCCAAGTGGCAACATAGTCTGTGACGTTTCGAAGGAACCATTGGGGGAATAGCTCAACGACGCAAGGGCTACATTGTACCTCGTAGCGACTAGTATGGCGACATCTAAGACATCGAACCAATGGTGCTCTATTGTAGGCGTTTCGAAGCAATTAATGCAGTCGATAACTTTCAAATAATATGCTTCCCCACATTCATGTAGATACGGGTGTGGATTATCTTTTAACTCTTCTAGTAACTCACGTCTCACCCGCGACCATTCATCTTGAGAATTATAAACGTAATCAGCAATGACGCGATAGCCGCAATGTCCATCAGCTTTGACATCGTTTATTTTCGTAATATACGGCCTATACCGTTCCGGCAGTAACCTTCGATAAACCTGAAAAAATAAAAATGGATTATCTCATTATGTAGCTTTTTATTTATTAGGAATAGCAAATTTTATAATCTCGTAATTCTTTATTTGAAAGTGTAAAGAGTGTTGGAAAAATATATTTGAGCTAATGAGACGGCAAAGGAAAAAAAATGAAATCAAAATAGAAGTTGTTAGTGTTTATTTTAAAAAAAAAAAAAGAATAAAAATTCAGTTTTAATTAGCACATTTTCAGTTTTGCAATTTCTGGCTAAACCAATTTTTAATAAACACTTTTTGCAATAGTGTTAGTTTCTTTTCTCGTCTTTGTCTTTGTCTTGCAGGAGTTACTTAGAGCAGTTACAAGAAATTTGAAATTGAGAAGGTTACCTTGGTGGAGTATTTAATGAAAAGAACTGAAAATATTATGTGAGGGATTAAGAAAATAATTTTGGATTCACAAGAAGTGTTACACGTTATATATCGTAACTTTTTAGTAATTTTTTTATTCTTTTTTAAGAATCTTAGGTGCGTTTGTTTATAAAATAACGCAATCCATGCTCAATATCAAACTCAACTTTAACCCAACTCCACTATCATCACTATAATTAAATAATAACAATCATTCATTCTTACACATTAGTTCAATTTTAATTCACTATTCATCCACTCACATAATTTTAACTAATCATCACTTCTCATCATCATTCTCATACTTTTACATCAAATCAATTTTAACTAGTCAAAATGAGGTATTATAAACTGGCTTGATGGAAGAGCATGGAAATCAATTCTTAGGGATGGATACTGCCGAATATTAGAGATGGGAATATATTGGTGAAACCTGACTGATTGGTCAAATGAAAAAATTTCCATTGCTAGTTTTAATTCCAAAGCATTGAATGCAATTTTTAGTTCCGTGGATGTGTCTTTTTCTAAATTTATTTCTAACAGTATTGCAGCTAAAGATGTTTGGATGCTATGCAATTACATTGTGAGGAACGGAGAGTGTTCGACGAACAAAGCTACGACTTTTAGTAAAATGTTTCCAGAATATGAAAATGTACGAAGAAGAAACCATTGGTTTTTACAATGCTAAAATTTGTGATATTGCAAATGAGGTTGGAGATCCGATCAGCTATAAGAGGTTTGTAAGTAAGGTAACTAAAGATTGTTAAGTAAGATAATAAGATCACTTCCTAAGCGCCTGAGAGGTTCAATGTTAAGATTTACACTATTGAAGAAACCAAGAAAACTGATACTCTTAGACTTAGACTAGGAAGATGCACGTAGCACGTGATATAGTTGTTTCTTTTTTTACTTAAAATTATTTTTATTATTATATTTATATTTAATAGTATAATATAATTATTTTTCCATTATCTTAAGAAAAAATGGTGTATTTTAAATAATAATATATGTATTGGATAATGAAATATAATTGTCACGAACAAAAAAGATAATTGCATTTTCAACATAGAGTTCATTAATTGTTACCTCCTCTTGTTCTATCTTCACTTGATCACCTCCGGAAACACCTTCACTCCTCTTGTTCTATAAAATCATACAGTACATAATTCTCAGCAAAAAACAAAAATAAAGACCAAATATTCATAACCAGTTAATCATTGACAAGAAAATGGAAGAATCCATTATTACCTTCTCAAGAAAAACATAATCTCCACCATCATAATCAAACTTCTTTTTTCTGTTCTTGATCTGCAAGGTACATAGTTTTGACATATAGTGCATATTACTCATATTACCCATACTAAAAGAGAATATACGTTACACAAGTAATATAATGCATATTATATCTGATTTTAAATTATTTTCATATAGGGAACATACAAAACAAAAAGACCCTTTCACAAATCGGAACCACAAACCAAAAAGATAATGACATTTCCAACATAGAGTTCATAGTTTTGGCAACATGTAATAAATGAAGGGGCCACAACTTAATCATTGGAAAAAAAAGGGCAAGAATATTATTCAATTGAAGTAGAGAAAAGATAAGGATATGTACTAGTATATATATCATAGAAGACATCATATAGTTTTGTTGGAATGGTTATTTGATGACCCATATAAGACATAAATAAAAGGAATGATATAGTGCATACTACTCGTATCACCCATACTAAAAGATCAACATGCATTATAATAGTGCATATTATATCTAATATTGCAACATTTTCAAACCAAACATACAGATATTTTCCACCACCTTATCAGAGATTTGGTTGAGAAAGGATTGATTTGCATAAACCATGTTGCTAGATCAGATATATATTTACAAAATCATTCGACTTTGAGATATTTTCTTCTTTAAAGAAGTCTCTTTGTTAGTGTGTGCCTTGAATATAAGTGTTGCATGAAATGTTACAACATGTTACGTAACACTTTTATAAATATGTATATTATACTATGTAACATTTAATGTCACCTTTCTACATTTTAGGGATCTTTAATTTAATACCACAGCCTTAGAATGGTTTCAGCTAACGTAGAAGTTTAAATTGCCATCTGTTCCCTAAGGTTAACCCAAAAATTCTCATCTATTTTCCTTCCACAATCACAGTGGCAAGAAAATGGGCCAAGAAATAAACACAAGTAATATTTATTAAAAATTGGCCCAAGAAACCGCACGAACTAAAAAGATAATTGCATTTTCAACATAGAGTTCATTAATTGTTACCTCCTCTTGATGTATCTTCACTTGATCACCTCCGGAAACATCTTCACTCCTCTTGTTCTATAAAACCATACAGTACATAATTTTCAGCAAAAAAATGTAACGAAAATAAAGACTAAATCTTCATAACCAGTTAATCATTGAGAAGAAAATGGAAGAATTCATTATTACCTTCAAAACATCATCTCCACCGTTATAGTCAAGCTTCCTTTTTGGGTTGGTTTAAAAAGTGCCTGATTTGAAATAGAAACAAACCATCATAAGTATATTTTCTTTGAAAAATATTGAAACTATTGTTGTACATCGAAAAGAGTTGATCTCTTACGGCAAAAATTGAAGAGACCAAATGGCTAGCAGTGCCCCCAACTTTCAGAAGTTGGCCTAGGTCTCTAGGGGATACAATATGAACCGCTTCTTGAAGTGTTTGCTAAACTATAACCTCAATGTCTCTTTCTTCGATTCGGTTGCTTTTCAGAAGCGGATTGCATATATTTTTCAAAAGCTTCTCCAATGGCTTTAAGTCGATCACCTATCAGATTACAAATTCAAATAAACAAGTAAATGACTTAAAGTTTTTACTTTTAGTTAAGAGAAATGCAAAATTCAAATATATTCTATTGATATAATCTAAGGTGTCCAAAAATGATAGTGAATATTTACCTAATAAAACAACCAATTGAATATAGTTATTTGATAAAATAATAATAAATTTAGAGTACCTTATAGTTTTTACATTACAACAACAATAATTATGTTTTATTGAGTTGTATGTAAATAGTATTGAACTTATCTTTTTTGGAAAGACCGGAATAACAAGTATAATAAAAACTTAAGCTCATATATATGTATCTTGTGTCTATTGAATACTCATCTAAATAATTGATACTTTAATTTTTTTTGTTTCAATATAAACAAACTCATATTAATCTTACACAATTTTAGAATAAAAATCAGCTCAACACTCCTTGAAGCAAAAATAAAATCAATAATTATGATTTATTGATTTGTATGTAAATTGTCTTGAACATGTATCTCGTGTCTAATGAATACTTATCTAAGTAAGTTCTACTTTAATATTTTTCTTTCTGTAGAAACAAATTCATATTGAGCTAAACAATTTTTTAATAAAATCAACGAATAACAAATAATATAAATATACCTCTAACAAGGCAATGATAAATGACCGACAGGCGAATTGAACTTTCCCAGAAACTCTGCGCGAAAACCTGCCAAGGAATCTTCTGTATAAATGACATATACGTTCTCGATCGATGTTCCCCATCTTTTCAGCCTATTAAAAATTGTATTAAAAATTGTTTTAGGCAATGACACAATTATTATTTCATATGGATACAAAGTTGCATAAAATAAGCAGTTAAGTTACAAACAATTTTACCTAACAGAGTAATTGGAGAAGACTATGTAGGATTGGATCCGCATCACGCTGGCCTTCTCGGGCGATTATGTCGTCGTAGACTTCACGGATCCAATCACTTGATTTACCTCCCATAATAATATCTCCAAAAAACTCAATCATTCCTCTTTTTAATATCGAAATCTTCTTCGCCTATTCAAATAAAGTAGATAAAGAATAAGATATAAAATTAACACAAATATTTACACATTAGATATGTCAACCAATTTTTCAATATATATATAACAATTTTCCTCATTAATGAATTATATTTCTTCAATAATTAATTTAATTAATAACTGTAATGAATAACATCATTACACATTTTCCTCGTAATTCAGTAAAAAAGACAAAGAAATTTAACCTGCTGACACTATTTAATTTTCTTCCTTCGCAACCTTCTTTTTTCTGGCGTCGAGTTATCTTCTTCGGGCGTGCTAGGCCCTCCACTGGGATGTGTAACGCCCACATCAAAATAATTCACCTTTCCTGTGTCATAAGTACTCAATTGCGAATGGGGTACAATCGGCAATTCACGACGCGCTTTTCTCCATGATTTTGCAATGGCGAAATATGATTTGTTCTTCCTTCTTCCCACACGAAGACGAATTCCATTGTCAACAGCCTTCTCCTTTTGCCTCAAAAAGATTGATGATCTAGTAGTCCCCGCTTTTGGAGACTCCATGAATGGTTGGAGTTTTCTGGGGATTTCCATGGTCGTGCGCACGGCATTTCGAGTCACAAATTTTTTTTGAAATGAGGTTCTCTTCAGAATGCGTGTCCTCACTACCTCCACCAACCATGTGATACAACCCTTTGAAAAATTTATGACCACCTGATCAAAGATACAAACAAAACATTTCATATCTCCTAAAAATCAACCACAATATTCACGCATCATTATTCACCGCGAATTTGCTTTCGTCAACATATATTTGATATTTAATTAATTAAATACAAATACACGAACAAAACATTTCATATCTCCTAAAATTATATTTTTCATATCAGCTCAGATCCAATGTGCTCCAAATAACCTGGAATATTTGTCCCGAAAGTGCAACAGTTTTAGATCACCATTTCTTTCCTTGAGATTACTTAGTTAAATATGAAAATTATCTAAAGCTGATATAACAAAAGCAGCAGGGGAATAGATCCATACCAGCAAAATCCATATAACAGTTCAAAAACGAAATCCTGATTGATTCTTGGATTTCTTGAAGTTGTGCAGAAACATCTTCTGATTTTGCTGATTCACTTTGAAAAGAATGAAGCATCCTGGAAAATGGTTGTGAAAGGTCTCAATTATGTAACAAAGATAAATGAATTAACTTACTCAAGAAAGTGCAGAACTGCAGAAGACAGAGTCTACTTTCTTCAATATTCGTAATATATATGTTGTTATAAGCATGTGTAATGCTTCTTACGAGAAAAAATGTTTTTAATTTTATAAAACTCAGAGGCCAAGCATAATCATGACACAAGGTCAATGCCAAAGCTAACTTTAATTCTTAACCACCAGAATACTTTGGCAGTTTGTTTGGTATTGTTTTCCTTAAAAACTGCAGTTTATAGTTTCTTAAGCTGCAGAGATCATGAATATCATGCAGTCTCATTCGAGTACAGGAATGCACAACTTGTGCAGGTCTTTCATGTCAATTTGGAATAATATGATTAGTGCAAGTCGAAGTAACAAAAACTATAATTTGGAATCTCACGTGTTGATTTGATCCATTGCTGAGATCATTATTGCACGAAATACCAGAGGCAGCGACCAGGGGGACTTTAAAACCGACACAGGAAGCCAAGTATCATCTTTTGAAATATCTTCTATTGAAGTCCGCATCCATGAACAAAGCCTGGCTATATAGATCTTTGAGATCTCAAATTCAAGTGACCTCAGAGCATAAACTGCAACCACAAACAGGTCACACTCAATCAAATAACAGGGTTATTATCCCAGTAAGTAAAAATTCAATAATTTTGTAGCATGTGTGTGTACATATGGCAGGTGCGGCTTTAAGCTAAATTTTACCGGCAACTGGAGGAGCTGAGTCTTTTGCTTCAAAAGCTTGACTTGCTCTGGAGATTTCGTGATCACAAAATGTACCGAGGACCTATATAAGAATTTGTACATGCGAAGAAATTAGTAGCAACGAAATTTTACCTACGATGAACAAATGATATGTAGATATTCTTCAAAGGAATACAAGATATATAGGGAAAGAAATCAATAGAAATCACTAGTTCAAACAACCGGCATGGCTGATTCCAAAACTTACGAGTTTTCCATCTTCCTAATCATTGAACGAAAATCATTTTCATCCTAAAAAGGTTCCCACTCAACACATTCAAGAAATGGCATCTACCTTAGACTCATATGCTGGTAGGGCATTGCGTATCATGCCAGAAAATTCATCAAAATCTCCAATTCTATCCTCTGCTTTGTTGAAGGAACTATTTGCAGTTGGCTCAGCAGATACTTGAGAAGACTGAAAGAAGAGTGGATAATATAACAAGTGTTGAACAAGAATTATAAGTTGGTTCTAACGGAACAAATAAAATGATGTCTAATATTTATAATGTGATAAATTACGACATATAATAATACTTAAATTAGGAAAAAAAATTCAGTCCTCATAATTGGAGGGTTATAGTCTTAGAGATTGAAACTGTTGGTAGCTGTTAGAAGCCTTTTAGAAAAAAATTATGTATACGATGAATAGAACATAACTTTATATGATCATGATGAAGGACTGAAATGTCTCACCTGTATATTCAAGTAATGCTTTATGTGATCAGACTCAGTTTCAAGCTCCAGCAGAAGCCGCACATTATTTTCAAACTACATGAAGCATCAAGTATGGGATTAAGCTACCAGTCAAAGTTTACACATAAAATACACAAAGGTGCATGCTTAACCAAACACTGGGTCACACAAAATGCTCTTTCAACAACCTAAGAAGTTTAATGATCAACATTAATTGCTTCCCATCCAATCTCAGCATGTGTAAAGAATGAAAAGCAAATTGCCTGACTCTAATACAACAAACAGCCCTGTTGGTGCTTGTGTGTTTACTTGCTGTTCTAATTTTGTCCACGAGTGCACATCTACAAATCTATACGCTGAGGGAAGAGGGCTGATGCATAAACTCTTACAAAGATAAATAGTAATACCAAAGTACTAAAAGGCAAGCTTTTCAGAAGCAAGAAAATAAGTCAACCTTTTTGGGTGACATTTCAGCTTCACTCATCGGAAGGGGTAAACAATTTACACTGGAACTAAACCTATTCTGGGTGGCCATTTCTCCCCCCTATTTGAGAACCCTGGCAACCTAAAACTCTCAATATTGAAAATTTGACCAGTATAAGACCTTTAGGTGAAATATCAAAGCAAACTTTTCTACCACTCAATGCCAATCCCTTCTAAACCATGCCCAACATCATTTGTTAACTACCACCAAAATAAAATGGCAACACTCCATGGGTTTGCTTGCCAGGAAAGTATTTCTAGAAAAGTATATAATAGCATCTTACATTTGTTAGATAAATATTCGGATCTTCCATTGCCTTGTAAAGCATGCCTTTGAACTCCTGCATTACTTTTTCAACCTCCTCAAGGACGCGTTTTAGAATTCCTACCTGTAAATTCAAAAGGACTCAAAATATTCAACTTACCCTCCTCAGTTTTTATTAAAGACGGGAAGTTAAATCCCGGCTGCCACTTCATGCATGAGTCTTATTCCAGTAAAAAGCTACTACATCATATGCAGGACATACCATAAGACAGAAAACAATTAGAACAAGAAACATGTATTATAATACGGTATGAAATGTCTCTAAAACACCATACAGAAGGAAGATTTAAGCACGCAGTCATGAACACCTCATAGAAGCTATCAAGATTCGCACCTAATAATTGCAATGTGCTGAATTACATGTGAACTAATTTCATTATAACATTGCGAATGATGTATAAGAAGAAAAACATGAAATTGCAAAATGCTGTAACAATACCAAAAAGTTTGACAACCAAAAAACTTGATATAACAAAGGATGATACTTGATATGGAATCGAGAGACATACATGAGAAGGAAGAACAATTGACTTTGCTTTCCTGTACTCTCTTACAGCTAAATCATATTCGCCCTTGCTAATGTTAGCACGAATAGCACTGGGCAAGTTAAATAGTGTTCGGAACCCCTGAAGCATTCCTTGGACAGACCTAATCTTCTCTGCTTGGGCCTTGAAAAGTATCGATGGTTCAATTAGAATTTAGAATTATTTTAAGGATGACATACAATATCTCTTCAATGAACCGTATAGGATTTGGACTGCCCCTACCTGTCTCTCAAATAGGGGACCAAAAGCACGATTAGCAAGAGAACTGACTCCTTGGATGCAGTTAAACAAGTGCTTTGTTCCAGCACCTTCAGGGTCATCCTCAATTCGCTTCAACTTTGACTCAATGTCTGAAATAACCAATACAATTTTGGAAATTGAATTCACTCACAGAAAATTTTCAAAGCTAGGTGCTAATATGTCGAACTGACCGTCGATAGTGGTCTTGCAAGAGACAAAGCAATCAAAGTTTTCTTAGACCAACTGCTTTTTCTGTTGGGTACGTCCTCTGAGATCAGTCTTTAGTGAAACAGCACCAGATTCCAAATCTGCAGCACTAGTATCCATGTGGACTCGAGATAGAAATAGTTTTGCATCGAATTTCTCCAAGTAATAGTTTAATTTTTCTGTAAAACCATGTAAACAAGGTTACCTTTCACAACTTAAGTAGCTCAATAACTTAAACTAAGTAACAGTAAGACAACGGCTACAACTTAACCACAAGTAACCAATGTAAAAAAGTCATATTGACATATTGATACAAACTCAACTTCTTCACTTTCTGATAAAAAATCAAACGTCACGGAACCTAGTAACTAATATACGGGGTGTTAATCTGTAGAACGGCTTAAACTCTCCTAAAAGGTTGTAAAAGTTGCCTACTGCAAGGGGTTAATATGATCAGTCCAATAAACAAATAGCCAGCAGAAGATATGGACAGCCAGTGCAGTTTGCAGAATGAGAGACAAAAAACTGTGAGAACTGAGAAAACAATTAATTTCCAAAACTAATAACACCAGTTACATTTTATTGGACACTTACTTTAAAGGAGGGTAATAATAATAAAGAAAAATAAATAAATAAATAAAGCAAATACCCCGAGCATTTGGATCAAGAGGTTCCAGATCAATAGAGGGTGAAGGAGCATTTGCTATATCGCTGATCAACCTAAATGTTTTGTGGTTAATTAGCCTGTCCATTAGAGATATCAGGTCAGCACTAAATCCGTAAAATAACGGTGAAAAAACAACCCAAGCAAGAAAAACTTACCCAAGTCCAAGAGGATCTACCCATTCCATGCCTCGAGGAAGTGACTGTAAATGGGTTAGTGCTTTTTGTTTCCACTCAAACTTTTGAGCCACAGGGACTGCACGTGTTTCCCTCATCTCGGGGACCCTCCTGGCCAGCTACCCCATGAATTTTTCAATAACGAATGCAATTAGCACCGACTACCAGACATGTGACTGCCAATCAATAATTACTCATAAAGCCTGAATAGAGAATGGCAACATAAATAACTTCAGACCTCAAGATATAATTGGTAGGTTTTTTGCTCTTTTTTTAGTAGCAAGTGAGGTGTACATGAGATAAGTCGTGCAATTTTGTCAAATGCTAAAAATGCATAAATTAAGACACTGATGTATCTTTCTATCCAAGCAATTTTGTCGGTGTTAATTAGAAATATTCAATTTGAGACTAGAATCAACGCACATGAAACAAGAAAACCACTGAATTTTGAGGTACTTGAAACAAGAAGTTACAATACAAGACTCAACAAGCTAGAATCTTAAAGAAAACAGTACAAAATACAACACATCATTTGAAAACAGATACTCGATATCTTATATCATGTAGCATTTATCTCCTCACTCCCACCAATATATCAGTAATTTCTGCAATTCAGATACCTGTAGGAGAAATAAGTGCCTAAAATGTGGCTGATCTAGAGCTAATGACCTTTAACTTAAACTAAGGCCAATAACAGAGAAATTGGCATCCATCAATCTGTACAAGTACCATATTCCCACACCTTGTGACTTCAGCAAAACACCACTTCACTGAACAACAGAATTAATCAATCCACTTCAATTAACTACGAACCACGCAGGAGCTACATACAACCACATGAATCAATACACCATATATTCACTAGCATAAGAAGATACACCACCATACCTCAGCTTCATCAACGTGCTTCCAGAAGGTGGGCTCCTCCCCATCCCACTTGTCATCCTCCCTTCCGCTGCCGACGCGGTTCCTGGGGACCACACCACCTCGATCATCCTCGTCCCCAGACGAAATGCTCAACAGCTCCACCTCCGAATCCTCGTCCTCGTCCAATGACATATTTGTCTGTTTGCCGACCCCCTTCTTCTGCTGCGGAATCCCCGCCGCGCCGGGGTTCCTTGCTGGCCCGCGGGTCGGCGGAGGCTGGACGTAATTGCGGACGGGCTTCTGCGTGGACTGTGAGGGCTTCTTGTAATTAAGATCGCGCTGCGACTGCTCTTTCAGCGCCATCTGCAGCAGCTCGTCCTCGTCCAAATCCTCGCCGTCGCTCGACATTTTATCCCAATTCGAATTTGTCGGTAGTAACGTGTGGATACAGGCAGCTGTATCTATGTAAGCGAAATGTGTGAATTTTCTCAGGCAATGGATCTCTCTGTGTGTGTGTGTGTGAAGGGATTGAAATTGAGAGTTGTGAATAGACAATGCGCGCTTGCAGAGGGCCGTCCGAAGAAGGCCATGGTAGGAGGATCTGATGCGTCGCGGTCGCGGGTCATACTATGAGTTTTACAACTGCCGGTCTGTGGGTGAGCTATCAATCAAAAGGAGTTTCTCAAAATCGTTTAGTTAATAGCACGAACTATTAAAAATAAAAAATATAAGATTTTATATAAATTTTTATAATTTCTTCTATTAAATCTCAAGTTCGGTTCATTAATATTGATAAAAGATAATTTGATAAAAGGAACGAGTTCAAGTTCATTTATTGATCACCTCGATAAGGATTCAAGCTATAGTTTAACTGTTTAAGTAGTAGACGCTCAAACTTGATTCAACTCCTGTATGAGACCATTATGATAGTCAAACTTTAGAAGCGAATTTTTTGAAATCTATAATTTTCTGCCAAAACAAAATTTACTAGCTTAATATGATTCTTTTTTAATATTTTTTTTTCTAGTTCTTTTTGGTAAATTCTTAGGTGAGACTTTTATTTTATTTTAGATAACTAATAACTAATTTGAATTTAAGCAGACCTTTTTTCAAGTTTAAGCCAAGTAAATCAACCACGTTATAGGCGACATTCACCCTACATTCGTCATGGAGCTCATGCAACATAACATTTGATTCGAAAAAAATGCTTTCAAACTCTCAAATCAATGTTATTCAAGTCCAAACCCGTCTCTAAGAAGGATCAAATAAGAAAGATCATCAAGAAGTTATTTTCGATCATAAAATTTATTGTAACAAATTTGGCACGTCCAGTGAGATTTTCTCTACATCTCATTTCTTCTCTTCAAATTAAGTTCTAATAAGTTTGAAGATGCATGAAAATTTCTTTGAAGAAAATACCTGGGGTACAACTGAAGATAATGTCTTCTTAAGCCAAAAAAAAAATCTTAGACTTCATCAAATTCACCCGAATGGAGTCAAACAAAAGAA